TTCGGCAGATCGTCCGCCCCCCCCCCCCCCCCCCCCTCCCCCCGCCTGTCACGGGCAAGCAGCCGAGTGGGACATGGCAGGCGAGGGCGAAGGCATGTTCTAGCGGGGCAGCCAATCTCCGGGGTATCTCCGCAGCAGGGAGGGCCAAACACGAAAGCGCCGGCCACCAGGTAGTTGGCCCTCGCCGTTCCTCGCCGTCGGCCGAGCGCGCGGCCCGGCCTGGACCCAGCGCACCGTGGGTTCTGGGCAGGGCTATCGACTCTGCTGTGCCGGCTCAGCTGCGGCTGGCGCCGCGAGCGTCTTGTGCCCTCGCCGTCCCGGGGCGCGGACTGTTGCGGCAGCTGGCCCCGGGCCTGGCGGCTGGCCTCCCCCCCCCCTCTACCACCGGCAGGGGCAGACCTCCGGTCGGCGAGGTCCCCCCTATCGGCCGGGTGCTGACTCAGCCGCGGGGCCGCGGGAGGTCGGGGAGCCGATCGCCCCGGCCTTCCGGGCCAGGGTGCCAAGCCCCACCCCCCCCCCCCCCCCAGGGCCGTAGTTCCTAGCCTGTGTCCCCCGGCCTCCCTCCGCTCGGGGGCCGAAAGCCGGCGGGAGGTCACTGCTAGCTGGATAATCTATCGACTCTTCACCCACCGCAGCGCGAGTCGGCAACGTGGCAGGGAGGGGGGCCGGGGGAAGCGGAGTCCTCCCCCTGCGCCCTGCTCTCTTGTTGGCGTAGATGGCTGGCCCTGCTCACGCGGGCCCATACCCATTGCTGGCGAGAACAGTCTGGGGGCGGGGGCGGGGGCGGGGGCGGGGGGGGGGACCAACATGTTTCCCCCGAATCGGGAAAACATACAAACAGGCTCATCCTCGTCCCCGAAGCCGGGGCGCTCGCGGGCAGACCCGAACCGACCCTGTCCACCCACGTCCCACCCACGCCCACTCCCCATTGTGTAGGTCTCCCCGCCCCGCCCCCTCCGGGGCCTCTCTCCTGTCTCGCCCGGCCCAGGCCCCTCATGCCCCGCTGACGATCTCCCTGCTCGCCCCCTCCGCCCCTCCGCCCCCCCCCTTCCTCTCGCTCCCTCGCTCCTCGCCCGTGCCTATTTATCAGGCACCCGGCTGCCCCCCCGAGCAAGCATGTCCTCTCCCATCAGCCCCCTTATCATCGCTGGAATCTCTCTCGCCGCTGCTGGGATTGCTTACGCTACCCACCGCAACTCCGCCTCCATCATCATGAGCAACAGTGCGTCTCCCCCCCCCCCTTTGCGCCTTTTTTTTTGTCTTTCTCCACCTCTCTCTCTCTCTGCCCTCCCTACCCTCCTGGCACATTCGCCTGTCCCTTCCCCTTCCTGGGAGCGGCCCCTCCGATTGACATTCCCCGCCAGACGTCCGCACCCTCTCCGTCGCCGAGTGCAAGAAGATCCTCGACGCCCCCGGCCGTGCCACCAAGCTGGTTGACGTGCGCGCCCAGCACGAGTGGGCCGCCGGCCACCTGCCCTACCCTGACAATGTCAACATCCCCCACACCCAGGTGGGCCAGCGTTTCCCCGGTGAGGTGACCAACAACCGGTCGGCCGAGGTGATCCTCTACTGCGCCGCCGGTGGCCGTTCCGGCATGGCCGCCAACACCCTGGCCGACATGGGCTACACCAATGTCATCAACATGCAGGGCGGCATCACTGCCTGGAACAACGCCGGCTTCCCGACCGAGAAGTGAGCAGAGCACCCGCGGGTGCACATGCTCCGGCATTGGGGGCGGGGGAGAAATCCCTTTCAGTCTACTCTACCCCCCCCCCCCCACCCCCCCGCCCAACATGTGCCTGTGCATGCGTGTGCCAGCTCCCGCACACGTCAGTAAATACACCTCGTATCCCCTGGTTGTTGTCTCTTCTGTGGCGCGTGAATGATGTCTGCGCGGGTGCGCGTTGAGAGGGCTGGGGGAGATGGGAAGAAGAGGGCACAATTCGGGGGACCTTTGCGTGGAGTTGGTGTGCATTGAGCGCGCGCGCGCGTGGGGG